CTTCCGAGCGGCTTTCCTGTCAGAGGCCTCCTGGGCCCGAACCACCTCTAGAACCTCAGGGGCCTCAGGGGCCATATGGGAGAGGACCGTGATGTAGCAATTCGGGTTCCCATACGCAAGGTGGTCGATACAGAGCTCAACCGTGCTGAACCGAACTAGACAGACGGGACAAGTAGGGCTGTGAACATATCTGGCAGCGACCGAGCGCTGCTGGTAATGAAGCCGAACAATATGCGTCTTCACCGCAGCGCACTTGGCCGACTCGAACTCACAGAAAGGACAGCGATGCACAACAGGCGCAGGTGCCGGCGTCAGAGATAGATCTGGTGGCACACCAATACGCGCAGCATGCTGAAAAAATATGCGTGCGAGCTCGAGCGCCTTCAATACGGCAAGCCCAACGGATGTGTGCCTCAACCCCTGATCGAACCAGGTTAGCCCAGTGCTGTCCACGCCCGAGAATCTTCTTCTCCCAAGCCCCGAACTCCGAGAACGGACTGGGAAAAGCACGAAGCCTGGAAACCCGAGTGCGAAGCCACCTCAAATCGTCCAAAACCAGGTTGAACCAGGAGTGCTTGGGTTCCGCAGTGGCCCGAATAAGCCCAAAGAGAGCCCTGGGAGCATACCTATACAGCCGACTGAGATAACGGAGACGATGCCATCTTAGCAGAATATCCACATCACATCTCATGACAGCAGCAAGCACGGCCGTATCGGGGTCAGCCTCCTGATCATAAGCTGGCCGCCCAATAGCAGACCGATAAATCCGCACGATACCAGCGCGGTACCGATTGAACTGTGCCGTCGTCGGCTGGGGCCAAGTTGCAGCATTGCACAGCCGGCCCGACATGATCAGCACATCTGCGAGCTGGAGCCTATGCTGACGAGACAGCTGCTGGTTGCGGAAAGCCACCTGACGAAGGGCCTGAAGCGACGACGTCGTCGACGACACACGATAGGCCAGCTCCGGGGCCAGGTCCTGCTTGTCAGAAGCCATCCCACCCAAATGCTTGTACGTGTGGACCGCTTCCAGAGTAAGCCCCTTGGGAAACGTGCCAGTAGGCGGGATAGAAACCTTACCCTCCTCCTCGATCCAGAACTGCTTTCGGGCCGTAACAGACCCAGGGCCTCTGAAGGTGACCATGAGGGCGCTCTTTGTGGGACCCACGTTAAGCTTGAGGCCCAGCGGGGTGAAGGAGTCAGCAACAATAGCCATGAGAGCACGAGTGCGAGCAATAATAGCACAAGCAGGCCCCCAAGCATTGAACAGGCTGTCGTCGCTGTACTCTACATCGTTCGCCGAAACCTGGGCGTCACATTGAGCGAGGGGGTCGAGAGTCCTGGTCGACGGCACGCTGAACTCCTTGTGTAGGCCCTCACTCTGGATCAGCTCCTGGGCGCGACGAATGCTCCTGGACACGATGAAGAGGAAGAGTTGCGCAGCTAGAGTATTGCCTGGCCTGGTGCCAGTGGTCATGATCGCGACAGAGCCTGACCCTTGGGTAGTAGCCCAGGTGCCCGTTAACGTCTCAGAGAGAACACGTTGCAAATTGGCAGGAACCTCCAGCTCCTCTAATAACGGCGGCCGTGCAAGTTCGGCAGCCAGCAGATCCATGCAAGATGGCGGAAGACCAGAGGCATGCAGCAGCTGAGCAATGCGCTCATCTGAGATAGTATCCTCCCCTTCGAACCGAATAAGAATCTCACGAATGGCATGATGGAAAGCGGCCTCCAGGTCCACCAAAAGCGTCGACATCGACTCCGATCGGATACGCGAGTGCTCCTGCAGCAATCGAACCATGTGCACAGCAAAGTCCGCGCCGCGCCCTCTGATACCTCCACACTGTGACTCAGGGGCAAAATCGTCTAGAAAGGGCTGAAGACGTCCAGCAACGAGGGCATGAGCACGCTTACCGACCTGCGGACCTATGGCCACATACCTGCTAGACACACACTTGTTAGGCGCACCCCGACCCTTGTACAAGTCAGCTAGCCGCGAGCTTTTCCATTGTAGAGGCTCATGTCGACACAGCATGTACTTCATCACTAGGGGGAAGTAGAGTCGAGCACATTCCTTTGCGCATGTCTTGAGTAGAGCCCCAGGGACACAATCAAGACCGTTGGCACAGGTACTGGAGGTCTTCAGCATCTGCTGTTCAAACATGGCAAGTGTCGGCAGACTCCGGGCAGCAGACAGGTCCAGTGAAGCAAGCGGCGCACGCGATTCTCCTACGAACTGCAGCAGACTGTGGGCAGGTATCCGAAAGCCAAGCTCCTGTTCCGCAAAGTGCTCCAGCCAACGCTCGCGGCAGGCCGTGGGCGTCAGGGCTGGCGTCTCATCCTTCAAGAGGACCTGAGCTGACTGACTAGCGGGCCTCTTCTTCGCAGAACCTATACCCAAGGATCTAAGCTGCCCGAGCGCCCTCCTGAACTCCTTCTGAAGAAACGAGCTAGAGATATCCCTAGACACCTGTTCCATCTTGTCAGCCCTGTCCATGTCGCACGACCAGCTAATGAGCCGCGAAGTCAGAAAGGTAATGTTGCTAGACATGGCCTTCATCAGCCCACGCCAGCGTCTACATAAACCCAGCTGCTCCCGAGGACAAGGTAGATCACTGTTGACCGAAGGGAGGCGAGCGAATGAAATACACATGGTCATCAGGAATTCCCAGTCAGGTATCCTCGCAAAGCGCTGTCCTTCTGGGAGGTGGCACCTGGCAGCACTTTGAAGCACCTGAAGATGGTCATGATAGTCCTCTAAGAGCCTCCAGAGTTGCTGACGAAATCGCAGACCATTGATCTGGTTGGACCCGCTACGGATCCTAAGACGCCCCCATATCCCCATGTGCTCTTGGTGTCCCATAGAAGCCCATGGTTGGAAGACAACCTGCAGGAGGACCTTCGGAGCCTTTCGCTGCCAACCACGATGTAGGGCACGAAGATATTTACGCAACTCTATGAGTTCAAGGGTCCTTTCACTTACCCAGTCCTGCCGGTGGGGGTCCTCGGGGATCAGGTGTTCCATGGCAAAGGCAACGAGGTGGGCATCCACGCGTGCACAGTGCGCCGTCGCTGATTCATTCCAGTCAGGCACTTGAAACTGAGCCGCATGCCGAGCAAATGCCTCTCGGATCGCTGGATCCCGGAGACGCTCTGGCTGAACTCGCAACAGCGGCCACCTGCACTGAGACTGCGCAAGAGAGCCAGATGGAACACCGACTTCGACAAAGGTAGGGCTGTGGTCCTCCACAGCGTTGGCGAGGTCCACCGTTCGATCAACCCGTGCACACGACACCAGCGAGAACCAGTCTTGGGGGAGTAATACATAGTCCAACCGCTTACAGGTCTTACCATCAGTGTGAACGTGTGTATTGTGCGTGTCGTCGATCGGGGCAGGCAGGAAGGTAGAGGGAGCAACCACTTGGAACCTATGGCACAAGCTTCGCATACACTTACCCGAGAAATTCTCCTCCACAGCCTCCACATCCCCAATCTGTGCCGAGCAGTGGGAACCAACTTCAGCATTAGCATCCAACATGAATACGGGCTGCGCTCCTGGTACTAAGTACTGGCTCACTAACCTCTGCGTGTCCAACCACCACGTTTCAACTGAACAAACATCCTTCCGAGCACAGTGAGGGGCATGAACAGCGACAAGCAATAGATGCAGGCCAGGCACATGAAAACGCAATAAGAGCCGACTCGTATCAGCATAAAGCTGGGCAACGTGATGTCGGCCAGGCTTGACACCCTTCACAGGCAACTCACAGTTAATCCAGATAGCAACTCCGTCAGCGCCGCTATCAGCACACTTGGAGTAGTACATCATGTAGTCACCAACCCTCTTAGGCAAATCAGACTGTAGTCGAGTCTCCAGGACCCCTAGGAAGTGATATTTAGCAACAGAAAACTGACGAGCAAGGGCCGTGATTCTCCCAGGGGCATTCAGGCCGATAACCTTCAAGAGACGAGCGCCTTGGGGAGCTTTCCGTCGGGACCCTTTATACTTGCTGTTACCCTGAAGCGTTAAGACGTTAGCCACCCCAAACTTGTGCTGCTCTATCTTGTTCGAGGGGGCCACATCTAGGATGGTCTGAACCCCGATAACCTCCTGGACCTGGAAACCCTCCGAGAGCACCTCGCCGACCCGTAAGGTGTTAGTACCTATGATGTTCGGAAGGTCCGCGGAGCGGTCGGAATGCATCCAAGCCCAGGCCAGAGCAGAGGAGTCAAAGAGCAGAGATGCAAAGGGCATATACTCCATGCCTGGCAGCAGTCCCATACCTGTGAGACGTGCAAGAGTATCCGCGAGCTCGTTATACCCTTCCCCTTGGTGGCTATGCACATGTTGTCCCTGGATGGTACAGGTAGCAGCCAGAAACTGGACCAGGGACCGAAGAAACACCAATCCAGAGTTGGTGACCTCGAAGGTTTGGGTGCCCATCAAAACTCCGAGCGTCCGCATAGAGTCAAGTCGAAGCACAACTGGTATTGTACCCGGGCCCGCCTGGGCAATCCATGCCAATGCCCATGCAGCAGCGAGAATCTCAGCAGTGTCAGAGTGGTAGGAAGACGGGAAGAGATCCATCACATCCTCCGGGACCAGATCAGATATATATCCTCGAAGGGCCCTGGAACCATCAAAGTATTCATAGATAATCACCGCAGCCGACGCAAGAACAAACGATATGTCAGATCCATCGGCTCCGCCAGTGCCATCGGTATAGACGAGGGCACGGGTGGGGGGGGGAAGGGGAGGTGCGGCACATGCTGCTGCAGCACCGCGGAGGTAGCTGGATGCAGGTAGGCAGACAGAGCCTCCTCACACAGCTGATGCACTGAAAAAGGCCAGGGCTGACGCAGCAGCTCGACAGCAGCAGGCACATAATGAAACGGGAAGTCACGGCTACTCAGAGGCGGCCGCTGGTCAGAGGGGCCTCTCTCGTCGGGGGGAGGGTCTGCCCGACGGGGGACCGCTCGGCGAGCAGCGGCCGCTAGGCGTTTCCCGTCGCCGCACCACGAGGAGCCGAGCGCGACTGGGAGCGATGGGCTGCCCTCCCACGGCTGGCCGCGCGACTGGGCGAACGCCGCGGCGAGCGCGAGCCAGCCTCCGCGCGGCTCGCACGTGCCTCGGGCTCCTCGGCAGCAGGCGTCGCTGGAGCCGCACGCGCTGCAGCTGCCCCGGCAGCCTCGGCGTCCGCGCGGCTGCCCCTGCATCCCTGGCGCCCCGCCCAGGCCGTCCACGGGCGCCGCGGCAGGCGGCCTGCCCGCCGCCTCGGGAGCCCCAGCAGGCCCCGCCGAGAAGGTCACGTGGGCGGTCGGCACGGGGATGTTCTGACCACCTCCAGCCGATAACTGCATCTGGTGGATGAGGGACTGGAAGCCCTGCAGCTGGGCCATCATCGCCGAGATCTGCGTCTGGTGGGCGGCCTACGCCCCGAGCGTGAACATGGCGGCACCAGCAGGCACGGCACCGGCCATACCACCAGCCGCACCCACCGGCGCCACTCCAGCAGCAGGCGTTGCTGCGGGGGCAGGCTCGGCAGCCCTCCTGGCAGCCTCCGTGGCAGCCTCGTTCTCGGACTGGATCAGGGTCTTCAGCTCGGCAATCGTCTTGGTCATGTGATCGAGATCGCGCTTGGCCAGGTCGACGTCCATGGTGGCCTGCTTCACCTGCGTCTGCAAGTCTTCCAGCACGTCGTTCGCCTTCTGCAGGCGTTTCTCGGCGCGCTCGTAGGCCTCCTCCTGCTTCTGGAGTTGGGCCTTCACGCCTCTCGCGCAGAACAGCATCGTCAGCGTGGTCGCGAACTCGAGCACAGCATCGTCGTAGTCCTCGCCAGCGTCGAAGCGGTCGAGGATGATAGCATTCAGAGCCTCCAGCCTGGCTGAGGCCTTCTCCTTGTAGTTCTCCACTTCGGCGTCCGTCGCCTGAGGACCAGGCGGCGGCCGCCACCTGGGGTGCCCACGAGCCACCTGCGGCAGCGCGGGGCGGATGTGCAAGATCTCCTTCGCCGAGCGGTACTCGTCGGAGGCCTTGTCCTCGTCCTCGTCCTTGGCCTTGTCCTTGGTAGCAGAGCCTCCTGCAGCCGACGGCGGTGCATCTCGAAGAGCGGGAGGCTTGCCAGCGGCCTTGTCCCTGCCCTTGCCTCTGCCCTTGCCCCGCGCCCCATCCTGCGCAGGGGGGGCACTGCCAGAGCGCCTCGGCAGGCGGCGCCACGGCGGGGCATCGGGCTTGGGCGAGCCACACTGGCGACAATCCACACGTTCGTGCCAGTTCTTGCAGGAACAGGTAGAACAGGACCAGGGAGAAGCAGGCGGCGCCCATGTGACGGAAGGGGCAGCCTTGGTCATGTCGACGCGTCGTACTTGCTGTCGACTGTGGTGACGTTGTAGCAGTCGACGCGCCGCCTCCAGGCGGAGGAGGACGCGAGCACGAGAGCGGTCCGCTCGGGCTCGCCTGTGCCACTCAGGCTCTAAGGCCCGGCCTGCGTGACGGCGGCGGCCAGCACGGCCGCGGGGCAGCGCTATGGCGGCTGCGAACAAGCGGCGCGTATAGCAGCAGTCCCGGAGGTGAGGGGCGCGGCTACCTGGTAGCCTCCCAGGGCCCCTCGAGCCGGGACGGCGGCTAGGAGGAGGAGGAGGAGGAGGAGGAGGAGGAGGAGGAGGAGGAGGAGGAGGAGGAGGAGGAGGAGGAGGAGGAGGAGGAGGAGGAGAGGAGGAGGAGGAGGAGGAGGGAGGAGGAGGAGGAGGAGGAAGAGAGGAGGAGGAGGAGGAGGAGGAGGAAGGAGGAGGAGGAGGAGGAGGGAGGAGGAGGAGGAGGAGGAGGAGGAGAGGAGGAGGAGGAGGAGGAGGAGGAGGATGAGGATGAGGAGGCAGAGGAGGAGGAGGAGGAGGAGGAGGAGGACAAGCTCGGGGGGGGGGGGGGAGGGACGTCGACCTGGAGCCGTCGGTCCCTTAGCCATCGGTCGGAAGAAGTGGGCAGAAGCATGCAGTAGGAAGGCGTTGGAAGTAGATTGGGTTCCCGCCCGCCCAGTAAAGATGAGTGACAAGGGAACAATGCTCGTTGATTGAAGTAGGAAGCTGCCTAAAGTAGATGGGGACCTGGGAATCTAGAAATACCCACTCTCAACGACCGACGGGCATCGGCGATGCATGGGCGGTGGGAAGTCGATGCGCCCCCCCTCCAGCCCACCCCCCTCTGGCGTTGCACCTGCCGGGGGGGAAGCTCCACATCCCTGGCGAGGCGATCCGTGCAGTCCCCGCGCCTGCCGCGACTTCGGCCTCCGAGGCCCGCGCTCGGGCCCTGGGGCCCGCAGCAGCGGGGCGGGGGCGAAGGCGCTGCCCCTGGAGGCAGGCGCCGGGGGCCCCCGGGGGTCGGGGACCGCGGACGGAACACGCACCGCCAGGTGCCCGGGGAGAGCAGCCCGCCTCCGCGGCCGCCCTCGGCCTGTCCACCCGCACGGGTGCGCTTGCGCCCCGCGCGGCCCGCGGGTCCCGCGCAGACGCGCCTGCGCTCGCCGGCGCTGCCGATGGGGAGGTTTCTGGGGGCAGCAGAGCAGAGGGTCAGCGAGTCAACCGCGTGCAATTTGTTTTCCCAGCGCCTCACGGCGCCTCCCGACTGCGCGGCCATGACTGGCCCAATTGCGCACCCCGCCCTCTCCCACCTCCCCCCTCTCGTCCGCCGATGCAAGAGAACACGGGGCTTCGGCCCGCGCAGCTCAGTTCACAGACCTACGTCACGCTGTGAGGAAGGAGCAGGTCAGGACACTCGCTCGGATGTGCCTTTTGCGACAGGCTGCTGCCACCATGCACGTCGCCCACGGCGGGTCGACGTGGCCATCAGCACACGTACGATTCAAATGAGCAGAGTGGAAGAAAAACTTGGCACTACCAGAAACTGGAACTGAACACGCACCCAGCCCAAAACTCGGCAGCCACACTCGTGATTGAATCTCGCCTCGCAGATGGTCACGCTCGTCGCGCGGCTGGCTAGGGATGGCGCGACTCGCGGACCTTCAGCACACCATGCGCGCTTGTGAGTGAAACTTATCCTCGCCCCGCTAACTACAGCCGACCCGCATGATAAGGATGCGCGGCAAGGATGCACGGGCCTTGGAAGGCCATGCCGACACTTTGCGAGCGGGGCGCGGCCAGCGACAGCGGTCACGGATGGACCGAGGAGGCAAGGTTGCAAGGGGCACCCTTGGGAAGGTTGCCCATCCCTGCTGTGCGGGTAGCCTGTACCTCTCATCCCTCGTTCGTTCCCCTGCAGTCATCGTGCTGACGTGCGGAACGCGGAGGAAGAAACGACGGGGCCCTCGAGGCCACCGCGAGCCTCGGCCACGAGTCGGCTTTCCAGCCTGGATCTGAGGAAGGGCCCCAGAGCCAGGGCCCCTCCCAAGCCCCAAGTGGTCCTTACTTCAACGTCTTGACTTTACAGACGGGGCGTTGACCTAAGGAACCCTAAATAAGGAACGAGGCCCCTTTTTCACAAGTTAAACTTCGATTTCCGATCGAATACATAAGGAAAACCTGAGACAAGCTGTGAAACACTTCAGGAACACGGAGCCCCTCCCCAACGAAAAGGGTTCCTTCTTCAGGGCCCCGACTGTACTCTCCGTCCCTTCGCCCTCGCCCCTCCTCCATGGCACTCGGGCACACGTTCCGATGGATCACAGAGCCACGGGCTGGGAAACGCAGGCCCCGCAGCGTGAAGCCAGCAACCCCCGAGCTGGCGATGGAGCGCACCAATTTTGTATGGAAGCGGGGCCCACCGTTGATCCACGCGCCTGAATCCATATGCGCGCTGCCTCGAGTTACTGGCCTTCCCCTTCTCCCTACTTCTTCTCCCTCTCCTTCCCTTCATTTCCTCTCGGCTCCCCTCCCCTCCTCATCTCCCCGCCCCTCTCCCCTCTCCCCTCCCATCCCCCCTTGTTTTTCCTCCTCAGCTTCGCTCCCCCTCTTCTCATTCTCCTCCCGTGCTCTCTCCACCTCGGATCTCTGTAATATTCCTTCGAAGAGATCCACTTCTCCATCTTCCCCCTCCGTCGTCCCTCCACCTTCTCATCCCCATCATCCTTCCCCTCCCTCTGCCCCTCCCCTCCTCCCTTCCCCGTTGTAGCCGTTGTCGTCGTCCTCCGCTTCTCCCGCTCACTTGTCCTTCCCTGCTGCACCACCAGACGTGTCCGTAGGCAGGGCCACGCGCTTCGCTTAAAACTTCCATAACGTGTGTTACCGTGAAGATAAGGAACCTTCCATCACCAGCCATGCGGATGGAAGGTCGGTTGTCTCCGAACCATGCATGTGCCCTGGCGCCGCGCGCATGCGCCTTCAGCATGTTCAGCAGTTACAGCTATTCAGGGCTGGTGGTTTTTAATCAGAGACTCTCAGCGCGCGTTCGACTTGAACGCTTGCCACAATTACAAGGATGGAGGGCTGATCGTTTTCAAAAAATGCATGTTCTGAACCGCAGCGTACTTTCGCTAAATAACCTGCACTCGTTATACCGATGGAGGGCCAGTGGTTTCCAAACGGAGGCTATCGCCTTAGCGCCGCGCACATTCGCCTTAACTGAAGGGGCCCTGGGACACACACACACATAAATACACACATAAAACTATTCCCCATATTTTCGGGGTTTCTGTCTTCCCCCCCACTTCCCATATTTTCATATATTTTCCTGGGAATCGACGACTAATTGTGTCTGTGTGTTTTTCCCGCTCCTGACTAACAAGCTTGCATCATTTACAAAGATAGAGGGGTGCGTGCGTGCTTAAAAACTGCGGCGCTCGCTTGAAACCTGTGGATCCTTTGCGTAACAGGGGTCTTGTCTGGGTGGCAGGCAAGCCAGGCGCCCGTCGTTCAAGGGAGGCGCCTCCCGCAGTGGAGTGCAACACTCGTGGGGGCCTACGAGAGACGGGGGTCCTGGGACGGGAGGGAGCATGGCAGCATTGTCGGTGCATCTTACCAGCCTCGAACTTATCCCTATCCCTAAGCTTGACACGCCAAAAGGCGATGACGATCTTAGGGATTCGCCCTCAAAACATAAGGGAATCCCTAAGATTGGCATCGTGATGAGGAGATGCCCAGCATAGGGGTAGGGATATGTTCCAGGCTGGTAAGCATCCTTGGCTCACTCCGGTTCTCCCCCTCATCGTCCTACTCCCCCCACCACTGGCCCTCTCGCAGCCCCATGGACGCACGCGGAGCACGCGTGGGCAAGGGGCACGGACCACTATTCAGGGCGGGCGGCACAAACCCTGCGTGCCGCGGCGCGGTCGCCGAGAGAGCTCGCCCGGGAGGCGCATCGCCTCCTCCGCTCTCCCTCCCGCTGCCTCCCATGAAGAGGAGCAGAACGGCAAAATCCACAGCTAGGGCCGGCGCCATGCAGCTATATCCGACCCGGGTGGGCCAGCAAGGGCAATGGCTACATCCGATCCGGGTGGGTCTACATTCCGACGCCGTGCGTGCCTACGATCCGGGAAGCTCTCCGAATCGAAAGGGCTTCCCAGATTCCCAACTGATGGGAAGGGGCTCCACAGCGTTCGCTCGACCCCTCCGACTTCGGCGGGAGGGCGCAGGCAAAGCTGAGCAACGCCACAGGAGGAGCTCTCGGCATCCGCCAGCCCCCCCCCCGGGGCCAGGCGCACGCGCCGGTGACCGCCAAGGGCAGGGCTGATGAGGCCAGCGCGGGTGGGCCAGTGGCTCTCAGCGATCGTGTGGTCGAAGTCGGCGTGGAGAGGTTAGGGAGGGGAGGACGTAAAGGGGAGTGCTCGTAATCTGGCCTCGGTGTCCGAGAAGATCGGTCGCACTCTTCCGCCAGTGTACAGGTCGTGCTTTGCACCAGAAGCGGGAGGTCGAGAACTGGAAGGTGCGAGCTGGAAGGTGCAGGGTGGAAGCCAGAGCGCGGGAGCTGGAGAGAAGAGGGGGCGAAGCCGTGAAACGTGCTGCTGGGCTGCTGTCTTGTCTTGCCGTCTCTGTGTGCGTCCTTCGGCTTTTGCGGGGATCGACTGGCTGGGGTCAATCCAAACCCGGGTCAGTCAGGCTTTGCAGTATCCTGCAAAATCCTGCAAGATCCTGCTGGATCCTGCACGCTAGCCCCTGGTCAATGCACCCCTTGGCTTTGGCTGGCCCTCGTTTGCATTGACCCCCGTCTCTTGAGCCCCGACTTTTGCCCCGAGTCTGTCCGGTCCATTCTCGTTCCTGCTGCCTATCCAGAGGTGGCCGGACCTTCGGCCTCTTGGCTACTCCAGATCGCCGCAGGATTAACGCAGGGGCGGCACCAGGCAGCTAAGTGGGCCCAGGAGGCCTCCAGGACGGCGGCAAGCGGTCCCGAAGAGAGCCTTGAGAACCCAAGACGGCCGAGCATGGCCCCGAGATGCCTCAAGGATGGCCGGAAAGCAATACAGTTTTCAATGTGTTTTGCCTGTGCCATGCCTTGCTCCCACGATCGCTTCAAGACAGCTCTAGGGCCCCCGAGCTCGTCACAGACGCCCCAAGGGACCCCCAAAGAACTAACTGTGCGCCCGAATCGCCCAGGATGGTCCGTCAAGGCCGCAAGACGTCCCAATGTGCCCCCAAGACTTGTCCCAGAGGTCCCTGAGGTAAGCCCCAGATGGCCCAAGATGGCTCGACGGCGGCCCCAGAGGCCTCGAGACGCTTTCAGACGATCTCACAATCTTGAAACACAGTCACCAACTTTCGCCTGGGGCGGCCGGTGGCAGGGGGCGCAGCCCTTCAGATATCTGTTTCCTCTGCCCCCCTGTTGCTCAGCGCATCCCTGATGGGTTCAGTCGGGCCGCTGACCTAAGGAACGATAACCAAGGAACGCGGCCCCTTTTTTCCAAATGCACGTTGTTCATTTCTAATCGTGCTCATTTCTAAGTCTGCTCGTTTCTAATTGTTCCTGGCCCCCTGGTGGCCAGGAAGAGGCCCAGGATGGAACACTTAGAAATGACTGGATCTCGCCCCCCCCAAAAATCACATAACTTTCGAATACGAACAACGTGTACGCCCTCGACGTCCGAAGGAACCCACGGGGGGCCCACCGCTGAAAAAAAGGAGCGGAACGCACGCAGAGACCTCTGGAACGACGGAGCCCCTTTTTTGCACAGCCAGTGTTCCTTAAACGCAGCGGCCCGACTGTGCTCCGGGGGCGGGGCCTGGAGAGCTGCACTTTCTGGCGGCGCGCACAAGGGAGTGGAGGGAGGGGGGGGGCTTCCTAGAAGGAGGCGGCTTCCTAGAAGGCGACGGCCTTGCATCCATAGATAAGGCCCGCGCCTTCTAAGAAGCAGCGGTGCTTCTAGGAAGCCCTCCCCCCTCCCCCCACCCCCCTTCTGCGCGTGGCTGAACTTTCCTGTCACGTCCCGCGCGGACAAGGCACCCACTTGTCTGCTGCTCTCCGGCACCCTCCTGCGCGACGAGGGCACCCTCCTGCCGCTCTTCTGCGCCCTCCGGCGCGCTGCCGGAAGGCCCGCTGCCGGGCACCCGCCTCCACAGACCCCCGCCCCCGTGATTTTTACGTGACGTGGGCCCCGAGCGTTCGTGACCCCTTTCCGGGGGCAGGGTTTCGTCCTACGCAGTCTGTTGGCTGTCCCCGGGCCTCGCGAGGGCCCGCACTGGCCGGCAAGCATTGCCAGCAACCCCTCGTCGTGCACTTTTCCAGGACGCGAGGGGGTCTGGGTCGGTGGCGCTGAACTGCTGGTGCCCTCGTCCTTCTGGCAGATTCTCATGTGCGTGCCTGACCCCCGTCTGGAAACAGCCTCCGCGCCCAGATTCTTGTGACCGTGCTCCTATGGGAGCACGGCTGTGCCGTCCGCCAGCGGCCCGCGAACGACTGGGCTCCTCTGCCCGAGAATGGGCGTTTGTCTGTCTGTCTGTCTGTCTGTCTGCCTGTCTGTCTGTCTGTCTGTCTGTCTGTCTGTCTGTGTGTCTGTCTGTCTGTCTGTCTGTCTGTCTGCCCGCCTGCCTGCCTGCCTGCCTGCCTGTCTGTCTGCCTGTCTGTCTGTCTCTGTTTGTTTATGTCTGTTTCTGTCTGTTTCCGTCCGTCTGCCTGTCTGTCTGTTTGTGTCTGTTTGTGCCTGTTTCTGTTTCTGTTTCCGTTGTTCTGTCTGCCTGCCTGCCGTCAGAAGCTCTCGCTCAGCGTGTCGCGGCGCAGGCCCCAGCGACGCGCGAACTGTGCCCTGCAGTCGGGTGGTGTGTCGCTCCGCCCCGCGGGGCGGGAGGTCGGGTAATTACCAGCTCGTGACGTTGACGCTCGGGGGCCGGGAAGCGGCTCGCGTGCCGCGCCGAAGCTCCTCAAACCAGCACCGGCGGCGCGACACGCTGGGCCCAGGCTCCCGACCGTACCTCCCGGCTCCTGACCTCTCCCGCTCTCGATGGCGCTGGGCAGGCCGGCGCGATTCCCGCGGCCACGGCGCAGGCAGCGAAGAGCGGCGGTGAGCATCCGGGGAAAATGAGAGAAGGGGCGGGCCTTCTCAGGGAGGCCCGGAAGCCCCACGGGCCTTCTGAGCCGTTTTCTGAGCCCACCCCGAAGAGGCAGAACACTGCTCAGGAGGCCGGAGAGCTGCTGAGGAGCCCCGCTGCCTTCTGAGAAGGCCTCCGCCTTCTCGCTGCGCCCCGCTCGCCGCCGAGAACAAGAGCTCGCCCGGGGGCGAAGCTGGGCCCGAGCCTCTCGCCCCACGTGCGCTTCCCCGCCCCCGCCCTGCGGGCCTCGCCCTCCCCGAAGCTTCCTCTTCCCTAGATGGGGTCCGAGCAGGTGGGGTCGGAGGATCACGCCGCATCGGCGATGCATCGGCGATGCATCGGCGATGCATCGGCGACGTCGTCGTGGACAACATCGGGCTCGACCCCGTCCGCTCGGAGCCCAGCCTCTCGGAGGAGGCCCGGCGGAACCCCAGCGGGCCGCTCTCCCGCACTGCCCCGGCCGGCTCAGCATCGGCCTCCCGATGACCCCCCCCGTTGCCCGCTGGTGACGGCACCACGCGCGCCTCACTTCTCCTTCTCCTCTGGGGGAGAACGTCAGGGGGGGGACAGGCTCAGGGGGGGGAGGAACATCGACCTGGAATCGGCGATACGTCGCCACTAGATCGGCGACGGCTCCTGGGCGGAGTGGGCTGTCGGGCCCCCAAGTCTGTTGGCGATCGATTGGCGATCGAGGGCCGACGCACCCCCCCCCCCCGACGTCCGCCGATCTGCCTTCTCGGTCCGCGGCCCGAGAGGGGTCCCCGCCGCTCCCCCCCCCGGGGGTGCTCTTCGGGCCGAGGGCCCTCTCGGATGCTCCCGGGGCCCGGCGCAGCCGGCCCTCGCGAGGCCGACATCGATTTGCCCTGCTGGGCCTGCTGTCCCCAGATCGTCGGAGCTCTGGCCCCCAGGGTTAAGTCGGGCGCGTCCCCCTACAGGGGGATTTCCGACGAAACATAAAACATATCCACACATACTTAAAAACAGATATCCAACAATACTCACAAATCATCCCCAGACTATGTTTTTTTACTATTCTTGAGGATCCCCCCTGTAGAGGGACAGGCCCGACTCAACCCCAGGAGCCTCTGTCGCCCCCCTGACGCCCCCTCCGAGCTCCTTCGCCTCGTGCGCTCGGAGCCACAGGAGCCTGGCGAAGCCCGAGGCGCCCGCGAGCGCGGAGCAGCCCAGCAGGCACACGATCGCGCCCGCGAGGGTCCCCTCCGAGACGCGGTGCCCGCCCCCCGCGGCGAAGAGTACCTCGCCCGCCCAGGGTGTCGCGGCCACGAGCGCGACCGCGGCGTGGCCGAGGGCCATGAAGCTCAGGAAGCCCGGGACGCACGCGATCAGGGCGTCGTCCTCAGCGACGATAGAGTCAAACACCCTAATAAGGACGCGCGGTAAGGACGCGAGACCCTTGGAAGCCGAAGTTGGGATTTGTTGGGCGGCGGACGACGAAAACCCCAAGGGTACCCTGACAAGCGGGCAAGCGAAAGAGGCCAAGGACGAGCCGCAAGAGCAAAGAAGAGCAAGGACGCAAGGGTACCCTGAGCAAAGTCGCGCGTCCTTCTTAGGGTTTTTGACTGTAGGGGCGAATAGCCCAGGGGCGGGCATTACACGTACTCCTTTTCGAAGACATGGATCATCGGCGCACCTGAATGCATGTGTTGCTCTCCCTTGGGCTATTCGCCCCTATCGTCGCCTCTGAATCCGCCGATCCGGCGTGTGAGTTTCAAGGAGTCTCAGCTACAGCCTCGAGGCTGAGCCTCAGCCTCTGGGGGGGTTGCCGGGGTGGGGTGGCTCTGCCGGGGAAGGGGGGGTGGGGGTGGGTGGGGGGTGCGAGTTTCCGGCGGATGCGTTTTTTGACACCCCTCACAAGGATCGTGGCCTCCGAGGGGGTTCCGAACTCGAGTGCCACCCCTCCCGCACCAAGAGGCTCCGAGGAGGCCTCCAAGAGGCCCCAAGGGGCGCAGAAGAGGCCCCCAAGAAGCCCCAAGAGGCTCCCAAGAGACCCCCAAGAGGCCCTCTAGTGGCCCCAAGAGGCCCAAGAGGCCCCCAAGAAGCCCCAAGAGGCGCCCAAGAGGCCCCCAGAAGTCCCAGCCAACCACGAGATCCCAACCAGCATCCATGAGGCCTCTGACCCACCACCCACGCACGGTGGCGGGATAGGCCGACGGCCACTGGATCCGCCGCCCCCTGTGGTCTTGCCACAGGGGTGCACGGCGTGCTGGATGTTTCAGGTTTTGGTTTTGGTTCTTTTTCTAAAAGAACTCCCCAGTGGGCTTCGGCCCGTCCCGCCGGCCACCCGTAATTTTCCCAAAATCCGTCTGTCAATGCCTTTGTTGCCCCAACTTGGCCCAAGATGGCCTCCAAGACGGCCAAGATGGCCCAAGATGGCCTCCAAGATGCCTCCCAGACGGCCAAGATGGCCTCCAAGACGGGTAAGATGGCTCCAAGATGCCTCCAAGACGGCCCAAGATGCCCTCCAAGACGGCCAAGATGGCCCCAAGATGCCTCCAAGATGGCCCAAGAGGCCTCCAAGACGTTCTCCAGGAGAGCCCGAAGAGGCCAAAATCATTGGTTTTCATTAGGTTTTTGAAGGTTTTTTGCGTTTTCTTCTTTTCGGCCTTCCGACGGCCCAAGAGGCCCCCAAGATCGCCCAAGAGGCCTCCAAGAAGGCCCTATGACGGCCCAAGGGCCCCCCAAGACGGCCCCAAGAGCGCCCCAAGACGGCCCAAGAGGCCTCCAAGACGCCCAACATGGCCTCCAAGACGGCCCTGAAGCGCCCCAAGAGGGCCCCAAGACGGCCCAGAGAGGCCCCCAAGACGGCTCCAGACGGCGTCAGACGGACCAGGAACGCCCTAAGACGGCCAAAGAGACCCCCAGGAAGCCCCCAAAGGCCCCCAAGAGGCCCAAGGAGGCCCCCAAGATGCCTCCAAGAGGCCTCGAAGAGGCCCCCAAGAAGCCCCCAACAGACCCCAAGGGTGCCCCAAGAGACTCCTAACAACCCTCATCCTCCTACTCTATTTCTTCCTCTTCCTCTTCCTGTTCATAATCATTCTCTCCCATGTGTTCCCCGAAAGCTTTCCAAACCGACTCGGGGAACTCATGGTCCGATAGCTTGGCCAAGCTCTAGTCCAACTTTCGGCCACATCGGCGTTTCCAAAAAGGCAGGGGGCGGCGGTGATTCGCCGTAGGCGTCTTCGATAAATGCTGAGTGAGAGGAGGGGAGGGAAAAAGAGAGGAAGGACGAGGGTGAAGAAGGATCACATCAGTCGGAGCGCCCCGGATCGGCGGCACTGGCCGAAGGCCACTACAATATCGATAACAAGCGCAGACGCAGCGATGGTAAGAACCGGCGTGAGCATGCACTTTCGGAGGTCCGCGCGGACTTCCTGCATCGGCACTGGACCCGCCCTCCTTGGCGCGCGGAGCGCGCCAGGGGCGGCGCCAGAGGCGCCGCCAGGGGTGTGTGCAGCGCAGATCTAAGAGATCCGCGCGGACGTCCGAAACATGATGTCTGCGCAGCTGGTTGTGCTTCGAGTCCTGGGGAACCGCGCTGTTCTCGAAGAGGTAGATGTGGCCGACCTTGTGCGGCTCGAAGAGGGACCTCTCGCCCCAGCGCCGCCAGAGCAGCCGCCCCTGCCAGAGGAGCTGGAAGTCGAGCACCACGAACCTCAGCGACAGGGTCGCCATCCAGAGCGCCGAGAGCGCCACGGACCCCGCGACGTGCCACGGCCGGATGCGCCACGCGCAGTGCTGGAGGAGGAGCGCGGCGGGCACCGCGTGCAGCGCGGTGTCCGCGAAGAGGAAGCAGGCTCGCACGTAGCCCATGCAGTGCTCGTGGACGTACCAGCCGCGCAGCCGCAGCGGGAGGCAGAGGTCCTCGCTGGCCCAGCGCGACAGCCCGATCATGGCGCGGGTGGCAAAGTCCTGCCGCCAGAAGGCGGCGCGGCCCAGGTACCAGGGCGCGCAGACGGCGCCTATGCCGATGCACGCCATGACGGCCAGCGCCTCCTCCGACTCGAGCGCGTAGGCGAAGAGCGTGCCGATGTTCCAGGTGACCGTCCACATGATGCGGACGCCGGCTGCCTGCAGGAGCAGCCACATGGCCAGGGCGATCCAGCAGGCAAGCCGGGGGGACGGCGGCGAGACCATGGCGGCGCCGATTGTCGCGATGGCCACCGTCACCAGCATGATGGCGGCCACGGACAGAGGCATCCCGTCGTGCATCCACTGCTTGCAGTGCTGCCTCCAGTACTCGACCGAGACGTGCACGTTCTCGAAGTGTGCGAGAGATATGACGAGGGCGACTTGCGCGACCAGCTGCGCGAGCCTGAGGGGGAATGTTCGGGGGGGGCGGCTCAGGGTGGGAAACATCGACCTGGAATCGGCGACACATCGCAGCTACACCAGTGATACCGTCGGACCAAGGATATCACATCATCCTTCATGAGCATGAGACCCTCCGCCAGCCAAAACACACAGACCATCCAAGGGTACTTTTCCCAGTATGCACAAGAACATCCAACAAACACGAAGAACGTTAGGGCTCCCCGAACCGAACTTGATCCTATACCTCGGTCCGACCGTAGGCCACTGATAGCGACTGCGCACGTTCCTGCGCAGGGACGGGCCATCGGGCCCCTCTCGGCGATGAGTGTGCGATTGGGGTTCGATGCGCCCCCCCTGAGGCTTTCGCCGTCCCTCATGCGTTTCGGGCCATGTTTCGGCCTTCTGCGGCGGCTCGGGACGATCTCGGCACCTCTGGAGCGTCCTCGGCGAAGCGCAGCTGCTGGAGGGCATCCCGAGGCCAGAGAGCCGCCGATGACCAACTAAAGCGTATGACAATCTCAGGAGGCGATGACCCCCCCCCATAGTGTTGGCCCTCCTTGGCACGGCCAGACTCGGGGGCCCCGGGCTGGCGGGCTCGGGCGGCGCGGCTCGTCCGCTCCCGCAACTTCTGGGCGGAGATCGACCACGACATGCGGTGCTCGGCGCAGCCCCGACGCGAAGCGAAACGGATGTCGGAGTCTGGGCGGTGGCCTCCATTGATCAGGAGGGACAAACAAGCACAGAAACACAAACCATTGTCGATTCCCATGAATAGATGAGAAACTATGGGAAGTGGTGGGGGGGGGTTGACGAAAATCTTCCACAACATATGGAACAATATGGGGGGATCCTGGCCTTTGTGCATATATATCCGCCGGCCCCCTTGTGGGGTCACCAGGCTGTAGGCCCGTGATTCGCAGTTTCCTGTACCAGTTGTAGCTTGTATTTTCCAGTGTTACAGTTCTGCTTCTTGCTGGTTACTGTAACTAGTTGATTGACCGCGCGAGGGGGGGGGGAGGCCCAAACGGGACCTTTTAGCACCCCCTGGGCGCGTTGTCTGAATTGCTGGGGGGGCTCGAAATCGACACCCCTCACGCAGATCCGCGGGGTCAGGGTCCAAAAACACAGGGGATTTGCCACATTTCTGAAATTCGGTGCCACCCCTCACGCAGATCCGCGGGGTCAGGGTCCAAAAACACATGGGATTTGCCACATTTCTGAAATTCGGTGCCACCCCTCACGCAGATCCGCGGGGTCAGGGTCCAAAAACACAGGGGATTTGCCACATTTCTGAAATTCGGTGCCACCCCTCACGCAGATCCGCGGGGTCAGGGTCCAAAAACACATGGGATTTGCCACATTTCTGAAATTCGGTGCCACCCCTCACGCAGATCCGCGGGGTCAGGGTCCAAAAACACAGGGATTTGCCACATTTCTGAAATTCGGTGCCACCCCTCACGCAGATCCGCGGGGTCAGGGTCCAAAAACACAAGGGATTTGCCACATTTCTGAAATTCGGTGCCACCCCTCACGCAGATCCGCGGGGTCAGGGTCCAAAAACACAGGGGATTTGCCACATTTCTGAAATTCGGTGCCACCCCTCACGCAGATCCGCGGGGTCAGGGTCCAAAAACACAGGGATTTGCCACATTTCTGAAATTCGGTGCCACCCCTCACGCAGATCCGCGGGGTCAGGGTCCAAAAACACAGGGGATTTGCCACATTTCTGAAATTCGGTGCCACCCCTCACGCACATCCATCGCAAGGCGTGGTAACCCAAACTGCGAGTACTCCCTCGGCCCTTTAATCCCAAGGTTTGGTAACCAAGCTCGTAAACCATACACGTCTTACCAATCGCCCTGTGTGGTAACCCCTCTTGTGATCAGTTGGTTTTGCCGGCCTCATGACTTAGCTCTTCCATGGCCCATTCTCCGAGAGAGGGGGCCGGCGGCAGGGGGCGAAGCCCTTACGGACACACATATATATATATATATATATATATATATATATATATATGTACGCGTGTGTATATATAAATATATATGTATATCGATGTGTGTGTAGGTGTGTAAGTGTGTAAGTGTGTGTGTGTGTGATTGTGTAAGTGTGTAAATGTGTGTGTGTGTGTGTGTGTGTGTGTGTGTGTGTGTGTTACTGGGCCCCTTGAGAGGAGGTCGCTGGCCCCCTTGGCACTGCCCGAGGGCCCCAGCGCAGAGGCGAAGCCGGGCACGTAGGCGGACGTAGCGACGAGCAGCAGCACCGCGGCGCCCACCGTGGCCAGGCTGGTCCAGCCGCAAGCCTGCAGGACGACGAAGCAGGCGCCGCCGCGGAACGGCTGGAAGAGGCACCAGCCTGGGCAGTAGACAAGCAACCTGGTGTAGACGAGGCCAGGACGAGACTCACATCGGGGGATGATGAAGCGAGAACCTCTGACATCCGGCGGATCTGAAGATGCCGATGGGACCACCCTACGGGTGATACGGAGGTTGGGGGGGGGGAAGGGGGCTGCGGTCGATTTGCGATGGCTCTGAGTTCCCTGGTGGCTTCTTCAACTATTTTGATTGTCGCGAACATCTGCCCATCTATCGACCTATAGATCTAGCTATCTGTTTTGACAACCATCCATCTCTATCTATATACGTATACTGTCATATATACTTGTGCATCAATAGATCCGATATCTCAAATCTATCAGTTTACCAGTTACTCCATCAATCAACGCGTATATACTTATAGTTGTACAGGTCGATCTAATTCTATGTATGTATGTATGTATGCATGTATGTACATATATATATATATATATGTATATATATGTATATATGTATATATATATATATATATATATATATATATATATTATAGCTCTATTTGTACACGTCTATAGGCGGTGCATCGGCGACGTCGGCGATGCATTGGCGCCGTCGGCGTAGAGATTATTACGCGCCGCATCGAACCGCGTCGGCGATGTATCGGCGATGCGGCGCGATCCTCCGACACCATCTGATCGGACCCCATCAGTGCGAGGCGCTGTCGAGGCTGGATGTCCGAATGAACCACCAGCCTGCCCAGACTCGGCCCAAACATCCAGCGCCTCGAGAAAATCGGAGCGGCCAGCTCGTCGCCAGTTTTGGTTTCTGGAAGACGGCTATGGGCCTCGGGGTTGTCAGGAAGCGGGTCAAGATGAAAAACCAGGCCTGGGGAAAGGGGTCGAGAGGTCTGGGGCACCAGCCTGGGTGAGCACAACATCAGCCTGGCCAGATATGGCTTCCGACGCAAATCCAGATCTCCGACGAATGATTTTGAAATTCGTGCTGTTGCTGTTGAGTGTTAGTTACCATGATTATTATTCGACCCCCTACACGCGCCCTGGCGCTCCCGTCTCGGCGCTGGCTGCTTGTCTTTTGAAACTCAAGTTCACTCTCGAGCGTTTCGGGGTTCCGCCCGAACGCCCCCCCCCCCCCCCCCCCCCCCCCAATCAACAACAACAACAACAACAACAGCAGCAACAACAACAACGCCAACAACAACAACAACACCACCACCACCAACAACAACAACGACGACAACAACAACCACAACAAAAACATACCGTCATGCGCCATGTTTCCGCATGTCACGTGCATCCTTCTGGGTACCACGCCCCATCGTTGGGGATTGTTCTGGCATGCGGGGTCCGATATTCCCTCGCCCAGACCTCCCGCCCAGGAAAATATCGCCACCACCTCTTCCGAGGAACTTCGGCGTCCGCAGCTCGGACGGCACATCGCCATCGCAATCGCCTTGCGCGCGCCCCGCATGTCGGAGGAGGAGGAAGAGGACGAGGAGGGGAGGGAAGATGAGGGAGAGGAAGAGGGAGAGGAGGAGGAGGAGGATGATGGAGGACGAGGAGGGGGAGGAAGGAAGAGTAGTTGTAGTAGCAGTACCTCCGAGGACGAGGTGGTTCTTACCCCTTGTTCGAACTGTTGCGCCACCATTCTCCGGCCTCGGCGCGTGACCCTGAACGTCCACGCCCCCAGGCGCCGCCGCTCCCATGCTCGCATCCTCCACCTGGCCCTCCACACCCTCGTAAGGAATCCCTGAAGTCAATCCTTCCACCCTCGATCCTTGGAGTCCCTGGAAGTCATCCGTCCTCCTTCTTCTCCTCCTCCTACACATGATCTACGCTCTCCAAAAATTGTAGTTCTTAAATCATTAAGGTTCAAGACGGACTCTTGGAAGTCCCCCAGAGGCGATGCCGAAACGAGGGCCCCAATCTTGAGAAAAAGGTGAAGGAGTATCAAGCCGGAGCGACGAAGGAAGACGGAAGGGGAAGGGAGGAGTGAGGCAGGAGGAGGGAGGAGACAACGGGGACAAAAAGGGAAAGGAGGAGGGAGGAGGAGGGACGAGAAGGGAGGAAAGAGGGGCGGGAGAGGGAGGAGGGAGGAGGGAGAAGAGGAGGGGATGGAGGGAAGAAAAGGGAAGAGACAGGGGGAAGGAGAGAGGAGGAGGAGGAGGAGGAGGAGGAGGAGGAGGAGGAGGAGGAGGAGGAGGAGGAAAAGGAGGAGGAGGAGGACGAGAGGGAGGAGGAAAAGGAGGAGGAGGAGGAGGAGGAGGAGGAGGAGGAGGAGGAGGAGTAGGAGTAGGAGTAGGAGTCAAGCTAGCCAGCTCGAGCGAGTCAAGCATGGCATGCCCAGTCCCACCCGCCCTCCCACAACATAAGAAGCAAAGCTGGCACAACTGGGGGCCGAAGTCACACCGGCCAGCCGGTTTGGTACAGCTGATGCGGCCGCGATGGCGGTTGCCGACGGGAACTGGCGAGCGCGTGTTGAATGCCGCGCACGCATTGCCAGACGAGTCGAGAATGGCCCGGTACACCGCAGGAAGCCAGAGGTGGCCGGAGGAAGCCCGACGGTCTGACAGGACACCCCAAAGCATTTTTGTGAAAAAGCATTGGGTTTTTGATGTTTTTATGTTGAAATGCTTGCAAAAACACGGTATTCGGTAGGATTCTGACATGAACGCGCGAGTGTGCTCTTTGTAATATTTTTTGCACAGGATTCGCGGCCTGGGTGCATGACAGAGCATCGCGAGTGCACCGCGCGATGACGTGAAATCGCTGGATTTGACGAATTCTTAAGATTCCATGGTTTTCCTATGATTTCAGCAAGAGAGCCCGGGCGGGAAATTTGTACAATTTTTGTGAAAAAGCATTGGGTTTTTGATGTTTTTATGTTGAAATGCTTGCAAACACACGGTGTTCGGTAGGATTCTGACATGAACGCGCGCGTGTGCTCTTTGTGGTATTTTTTGCAATGGATTATCGCCGTGGACGACAGGACGTCCATGTCGAGAGGAAAAAATAAGAAAAATGTTGATTTTGTATTGTTTTTTACAGGTTAGGATGGGACCACCCGGATGCGCCCGCTATCTGCCGGCCTGAGGGGGGAGTAGGAGTATATTCTAATAAATAAATAAGGATAGGAAGGAGAGGAGGAGGAGGAGGAGGAGGAGGAGGAGGAGGAGGAGGAGGAGGAGGAGGAGGAGGAGGAGGAGGAGAGGAGGAGGAGAGGAGGAGGAGGAGGAGGAGGAGGAGGAGGAGGAGGAGGAGGAGGAGGAGGAGGGAGGAGGAGGAGGAGGAGGAGGAGGAGAGGAGGAGGAGGAGGAAGAGGAGGAGGAGGAGGAGGAGGAGGAGGAGGAGGAGGAGGGAGGGCGAGGAGGAGGAGGAGGAGGACAGGGAGGAGGAAAGGGGAGGGAGGAGGAGGGAGGAAAGAGGGACGGAGGAGGGAGGGAGGAGGGAGAAGAGGAGGGGGTGCAGGAAGAAAAAAGGAGGAAGAGGAAGGAGGGGGGAGGAGGAAAATGAGGAGGAGGAGGAGGAAAAGGAGGAGGAGGAGAAAAGGGCGCCAATCCAGCGTAAAACGGGACGAAGTCTCGGGCGGGAGCGCTGGTTTTGTCGGGGCGGGGGCTGTCGGCGGCGAACCAGAGCACCGCCTTGAGTAAAAAAGGGAGGAGCGTTGTTGTTGCTTGGGGGCGGCGCCGATGAGAGAAAGAGTAGCGCGCCTGTCCAAGGTAAAACGAGAGGAGGTCTCGAGCGGGAGCGCTGGTTTTGTTGAGACGGCTGCTTTCGGCGGCGAGCAAGAGCAACGGCCCTGATTAACCAGGGAGGAAGTCTCGAACGGGAGCGATATTGTTGAATATTATTACTTCTAAAGAATAATTATTGTTGGGCCCCCTGGTGCACGCCCCCCTCGCCGCGCCTAGGCCGCAGCCACATTTTCATCATTTTCGTGAGGAAGTCTCAGGCAAAACGGGGGAGTCCGGATCCGGTTGTTTTGTTGACGCCCGCTTTCCCTTGCAAAAAACAATATAAAATGACATTTCTTGTTCTAACATAACCGAACTTCAGGAATCCATTGCAAACAATGACACAAAGTGCACATTCGCGCGCGCAAGACGAAATCCTTCCAAAACCTTAGTTTTCGTAGCGATTTTGACATAAAAACATCAAAAACCCAATGGTTTTTTTCAAAAAAAAATGGTGAAAATTCTATCCCGCGCGCTCTTGCGGATTCGTAGGAAACCCAACACTTTTTTAAACATTTCTGTCAAAAGGGCTTTTGCGAGCAATTTTTTCACGTGCTTCGAACTTCTGCAACAACGGTTGCGCACCTGCCAGGGCCATCATCCCTGTCAAATAATACCATGCGGGACACATTCGTTTTTTCTTCGCGCGCGCACGCCGTCGTCGTCGGCCGCGGGGCCCTGAATAGTAGCCACGGTCGTCCGCATGCCACGAAGTGAAGTGTCCGAACGTCATAGGGCGGGAAGCTGGGTGTGGGTGGTGGCGAAGAGTCGTTTGGAAATTTGGTAGAGCTTGAACCGGCCCCCCCACAAAGTGGGGGTATTGCCCGCCTCCTATGAAAACCCTGGCACTGGTGAGAACGGAGTGTCCCCACGTGCTAGTAATTGTTGTTGTTGTTGTTGTTGTTGTTGTTGTTGTTGTTGTTGTTGTTGTTGTTGAACATTATTACTTCTAAAGAATAATAATTATTGTTGGGGCCCCTGGTGCACGACCCCCCCGCCGCGCCTAGGCCGCAGCCTCATTTTCATTATTTTCGTGAAGAAGTCTCAGGCAAAACGGGGGAGTCCGGATCCGGTTGTGTTGTTACGATCGGTTTTCCCTTGCAAAAAATAAGCTGAAGTGGACATTTCTTGTTCTAACATAACCAAACTTCAAGAATCCCTTGCAACAAACAAGGTGAAGTGGACATTCGCGCGCGCAAGACGAAATCCTTCCAAAACCTTTGTTTTCGTAGCGATTTTAACATAATCACATCAAAAAGCCAATGGTTTGTGCAAAAAAAATTGTCCAA